AACTCCGTATTTAAAAGTTCAACAAGGAATGTTTTACAGAAGATTGCACAATTATTGTTATTTTTGTTTATGGCAATGATTACAAAAATTTTTTGCAGTTACTTAATTGATCGTACAATTTTAGAAAAATTTGTTGAATTATTACTTTTATTTAAAATTTTCTTATTATTGAAAACAGAGTTTTTAAAGTAATAATAAACAGCCCAATTCTATTCTGTTAATATACATAAAGGTAAAGAGAATCTGTTTGATATCTTTAAACAAAAATTATTGAGATCATTAAGAAAGTATTTTAGAATTTTATTAATTGTTATATGGTAAATGGGTCTAAATTTTGCGCCTTTTATCATTAAATTCCTAAGCTCTATGTTTTCTGTAATATTCAAATTACCAGTAATAATATGTTTATGGTGTTTATCAACAGAATCAAAATATTTCTCTTTTTCACAGTGACATTCATAATCAGATATGTTAATTTTCCCTAAATGTTTGCTAATATCATTATAATTAAATATAGTTCTACCAGGAGATTTATTATATTTAAAGTTTTTAATTATGTTAAAGTCTTTCAATAGAGTATACAATACATTTTTGAATTTTCAAAAATATTATGAAATTTAATCTTTTCGAAAATTAAGGTTTTGAAAAGTTAATAACGAAATATAAATTATGTAAATTTCTATTTTTATTTGAGAAAATTTTACTCATTTTAGCTTTTACAAGATCAGAACAAAGAATTTTGAAAAATTAATAAAGAAAAATTAATAAAAGCTTGAAGCTCATATACATCATTATTCTTAAGGGAGGAAACAAAATCTTTCATTGGTTTAATGTTATAATGTTTATTAAAATCTTTTTCCATATTAGAAATAAAATTTACGCTTTATTTGTCACAATTAAGAGAGTTTTTACTACTTCCTAATCATCGTTTACCTCGATTCTTTCGCTTATCTTTAATATGAAAAAGTGAGTAAGTTGAGTAGTTATTAAAGGTAAAATGTTTGTTGGCCCATACGGCAAAATTGTTCTGTATAAAAGCATGTAGTAATTTTCTTTTTGTATTCTTAAAACGATATCTTCTACTATATCTAAAATATTAATTTCAATACTGTTAAAATTGGCCAGTCAAACATCTGCACCAAATGCAAAAAGGTCAATTAAGCAAACACGAAAAAATATGAAAATAAAAAATTTAACAAAGCAAATGAGTAGATTAAAATGTTTTCTAAATATTTGAATGAAACTGTTATTTAGAGAGATCTTTTTGACGATGCAACATCATGTTAAAGTCAGAAAGCATTGAAGATGATGCTATCAATGATTTACTTTTAGAGCTGAAAGTTAGATTAGAAAAAAAAGCTATTTTAGAAAAACAAGCTATTTTAGAAAAACAAGCACCTCAAACAAACCTCTTCTTATCTTCTAAAGCTAACTAATTTTTACGATATAAAATTAAATGGAAACATAAACAAAAAACATAATTGTTTATTTATTTAAACTAGTTTCATCATTCATAATTGGTAAAATTGTTTTTACACATAATTATATCAGTTGGGATAATTTTTATAAACGCTAAATTTTAATCATTGATCCGTCTTTTCATGACGCCAACAGAAGTGGCATTTCCGTTCCAAGAAAATGACACTGAGTAAGAAAATAATTTGCAAAAAATCATGCACCTTCGATTTTGAAATCAATGGAGGTAACCTCTCAGAACGACCAACCTCCATTAACGACCATTTTACTGTGAAACGGAGAGTGGTCGCTTCTTAGAGGTTTTACTGTACCAATATTTCTCATAGAACTTTAAAATTTAAATTAAAATAAACAAAATAAAAAATTGCTACTTATTTTTTTCCGATAACCAATTTCACATTTTATAATGGTTCCTTTTAAAAAAAATATATGATTCGATTAAATTATTCAATTCGATTTTATGTATACGCAAAAAACTAATAAACTAAAAGTTTCAGTAGACTCTCGAATTCAACTAACCTCTAACATAAAACTTACTAAAAAAAAAATGAAACCTTCAAAATAACTTAGAAACATAAAATGTGAAGAATAAAATTTTTTCATTGTTTCATCAATAACAGTGTTAAAATTTGCTAATTAACGTTTTCTTAACAGTCAAGGTTCTGTCAAAAGAAGGTCGATCGCTTAGGGTATGTAGCTGAAAAAAATTAGGAACCGCTGGGTTAGAACGTTAGAATAACACCGAGAAGACATTTCATTTGACTCTAAAGCTAATTTTAACCGCAAACTTTAAACTGTTTTATTGGCTGTGTTACTTCGATTGCGTCCTTGTTTTTCATGATGTCCGAGTGGTTAAAATTCACCGAGTAGACAGTTTATTTGATGAATCACTTGTTTTGGATTGGATAGGATTATTTTTCGTTTTTTAAAGATCAGCCTCTTGCTTACATAAATAAACTCGTTCAAGATATTTTGTACTACAGCGTCTTGCAAAGTTTCATTGAAAAACCCGGATAAAAATAAAAATTTTGCAAAACGTATTAAGGCATCTTAATTGCAGTATCTTTTTTATTTATTTTTTATTTCTGATGGAAATAGTTTTTTTTATTATTTTTTATTAATCACCTGTTCTTATCAGAAACTGTTTCACTTTCTTCTCGAAGGTAATCGTTTCTTATCTCGTAGAAACCTGTTTCTTTACAAAAGCGTCAGTGTCTCTATGAGGAGAAAAAACCCAGATGAAGTAAAAAATCGATTTTGTATTTGTCTTGAGTTTCATTCAGTTTTAGTTTTTCTAAATAGCAATCATTATAATAAAAATGGGGGAATTGAAGAAAAAAAACAACCAACTATTTAAAAGTTTGTAATAAGAAGACCGTATCCAAAATATCAATATTTAATATCCGTCAATATTTCATGTTTTCATCCGTTCATTTTTTTTTAATAAAACAAGTTTTACATAGATGAATAAAAAACAATTATTATTTGAAACATGGCGTTAAAAATAGTTGAATCAATTATTGTATATACATAGCATTAAAAATAGTTGAATCAATTATTGCCAATATTTTATATCCTTCAATATTTCATGTTTTCATCCGTTCATTTTTTTTAATAAAACAAGTTTTACATAGATGTATAAAAAACAATTATTATTTGAAACATAGCGTTAAAAAGAGTTGAATCAATTATTGTAATTACATAGCGTTAAAAATAGTTGAATCAATTATTGTCAATATTTTACATCCATCAATATTTCCTGTTTTCATCCGTTCATTTTTTTTATAAAACAATTTTTACATAGATGTATAAAAAACAATTGTTATTTGAAACACAGCGTTAAAAATAGTTGAAATATTTAAAACGATTGAAACGAATTGATTTTAAGCTTCTAGATAATAGTTTTGTTACAAAATTTCTTTAAAAAATTTTTAATTGCGACATAGAAAGTTTAGAGCGATATTTATGTTTCATTTTTATAACTTAAGTGATTGCTTTACATAAAATTTCATTTCTTAAACTTGATAAAAAGGCAAAATAGACAATAAGCAGTTTTATTTTTTGATTTAAAGTTCTGAATTTATCTCAATTTATCTCAATTACCTCAATTTATCTCAATTAATCTCAAAAATCTCAAATTATTTTTTTATTTGTTTTTATTCATCTGATTTTCTTTTAACGTAAGAATTTTTTTAAATATAAAAAAAATATATTGTTTGAAACAATTGTTTTAAAGCACATATTACTGTTTCGATAATTAATTGTTTTCTTTTTTTTTATCTAGTATTTTGATTGTTAATCAATTACCACTTCTGTCGTTACTTGTTGCATACCGAAAATCAGAAATTACAATTTAAATCTACTATAAAATAATTGTTTCTCTTTTTAGTTAGAAAAAAGTTATTTGCGTCAAAAATTTTACCAAATAAAATAAATTATTATATGAACGTGCCGAAAGCTCTGTGTAGTGGTGAGGGAGCTGATCTCACACCTGAGAGGTCCAGGGTTTAAATCCCGGGCAAGGCACAGGTTTCAATGATAAACTAATATTATACGTGAATGATTATAGTTTATTGACAATATTACATTGAGAAAAAATATGGTCAAAGCTACCAGAATAAGGTAAAATTTACTGTATTTCTGACTTTATAGGACACCAAAAAGCTCAGTAATTTCTACCGAAGCGCTTTGGTGATGAGTTAGGTTAAAGTAACAATAAAATACTGTTTTACAATATGAGTAAAAGTTTGGAAAATGTGGCAAAATCTGGTAATTTTATCATGCTATCTCAGAACATTAAAATAATTTATTCGGTTTAATTTAGTTTTAAGTTTCGAATTTTTCCAAAATATGTGATTTTAAGAACTAATTTATTGTGGTTATAATAATAATTGTGGTTCTAATAATATTGTGGTTATAATAATAATTTTGAAAAACCAGAGTTTTTAGTAAACTGTTACCATATGAACGAAAACCGTTACCATATGAATGGTTTAAAATACAGTATATTTTGGGTTATATTTAGTTTTGGTTTTTATAGGTTTAAAGTACCGTATATTTTGGTATACAGAATTATGTTTTTTTTTATTAATAATGTCTTTACAATATAATACGGTAATTTCACCAGACTATTTTCTACGTATACACCATTATAATAAAACACACCATTGTGTATACTACGTATGCACAATGTATGTTTTATTATAATGCCGTGTTTAGTTTAGATGATAATATCACGTTTAATTGAACAAATATGTTAATTGCATTTCGATGGAAATAGGAAATCCCGAACAGCTAAAAATGTAAATGTCAATCACAGGTTCGATTTAACGTAAATTATATGCAGAGTAACATCAAATATAAAAAAAAAACATTTTATTGTCAGATACTAACTTTGTTGAATACTAAAGATTATGTTTTCTTGGCATTTGATATATAACCTCTTAAGAGAGTGCCTTGAATGCTGTTTCAAGGATTGTATTATATCATATCTTATATATAAATTGCGTTGTTTCTTTTTTCAGGAGTTTGTACTTTCAAGGACATAAGACTTGATCTTATTGGTGCAACAAAGAAAGGTATGCTGTCATACTTCTTTTTCAATCATTCAAGGGGTATTGCCTTTCCAGAAGTTAAAAAATGTTTTCTTTTCTTCTTGATTAAAATAAATGTAGTTTCTGAAAATCAAAAAAAAAAAAATTTTTTTTTATTTTTGCACCTGAAAAAAATTTAGCAAACCTATCTTATATTCTGATATATTAAACGTTTGAAACCCTGTTCAATTTGTAACTCACTTAATCTTTAAATACGTTTTAGCTGTGGTGAAAAACTAATTTTTATGATAAAACTTTTAGGAAAACATGCTTTTATTGAAACTTGATTAAAATGTGCTTTGTTGTTGTTGTTGTTGTAGTTCATTTACGTCGCACTAGAGCTGCACAATGGGCTATTGGCGACTGTCTGGGAAGCATCCCTGAGGATGATCCGAAGACATGCCATCACAATTTTGATCCTCTGCAGAGGGGGTGGCGCCCCCGCTTCGGTAGCCCTACGACCTGCACGCGAAGTCGAGCACTTTACGGTAGAACAGTTTAACGAGGACCAATACCGAGGACCCTCGGTCCCAACGCAGGCTGATCCAAGTGGTCACCCACCCGCACACTGACCGCAGCCAGTGATGCTTGACTTCGGTGATCTGCTGGGAACCGTGTCTTAACGATCAGTCCACTGCGGGACTAAAATGTGCTTTATACTAAAGGTTTCATAAAAACTCATTTTAGAGTAAATGCTGATAAAAACACTTATAAAACTTAAGAAAAGACATTTAAATTTCATCATGTAATGTTTTGTCATACAAATAAGGTAAAAAAATAATATATTTTTGGAATTAACGAGTGCTTTTAGTAAAACAGTTTTATTTCTTGAAAGATATAGTAACGATTTAACTATTACTGTATATGAATGACACCAAATATTAAATTAATTATTAGAATTCAGTATTTAATTTTACTTTACTGAAATTCACTAACCATTTTTTATTAAAAAATGCTTTTAAAATTACATGGAAATTAAATTAAAGTTATTTAAAACGGAACGAAATATGAATAAAAAAGTATTTAAATTATTTTATATAAAAAATCTGATTTTTCGGGGACGCTTTAAACAAGCTTGTTAGCATTGTAATCTGATTAAATTATTAAACCGGAACGATTTGAGAATGTTTAATTCGAGATTATCTCAGATTTTTTAAGCTGTCAAAGTCAATTTTCTCATTATTTCTTCATGCGTAACTTTTGGCACGCGTTTAAATTTTTTTAGTATTCATATTAAAAGTTCAATGAAAATTCAATCTAGTTTCAATTATTCAAAATATTTGGGTAATTTTTTTAATGAAAAAGTGCTTGCAACATAATATCAGAATTCGATCACGACAGAATGAAATAATTTAATTTGAAAAAAAAGACGATAAAATGAGATGAGATCAATTTGAAAAATCTTTCATAGAATAAGTAGATTCCGTTTCATTCTGTATCAAATTTAAGGACTATTTATTGTTAGTAATGTTTAATTTATTTGCAAGCGCAAATGCGTTTTATGTACTTTCCTACCTACTTTGCAAAAAATAAAAAAATAAAAAAGAATTAAAATCAATTTTAGTAAATAGTAGCATTTAACATATTTTTTAAGGGTCCCTACATACTTATTAAAACTTGTTCAAAAATGAACCGTACTTAAAATGATTACCGTGAATCACACTGTTGTGAAAATTTTGTTTAAAACTCAACACGATGCGTCATCATACACTGAAAAAAAATCTGCTCTAAGGTACGAGAATACGATAAAATTTATCATATTTATGGTTCTATGGGAACACCAAAAAGGAACACCATTTTTACCGACTCGTTTTGGTTAGGATTTTGGCAAACTTAACAATAAAATATGGATTTTAAAACAAGCGATAAAATTTGTTAATATATATCATGAAACCTTAGAGGATGACATAAAAACCATTTATTTGGTTCAGTTTACTTTTTTGTATTACTTGCTAAATAAGTAGAAATAAGAACTATAATTTTGAAAACCAGAATTTTAGGTAAACCATATGAAAAAAAAAATTATAAAATGAATATTTTAAATACCATAGACTTTGTTTTTTTTTAAACCAGAATTATATTTTTTAAATAATTTTTCTTAATCAGAAATGTCATTATCATGCAGTACGGTAATTTTACGAGAATTTTTTTCCCCCGTTTATAATAATGAGGTTCAACATGAACGGAAATATTGCGCAATCTACCATTTTATCAAATTGCATACTATACTGTTGTGTTTGTTCAAGTTAACGGCGAAGTCCAACGCTGAGCCAATGCTTGATAAGATGAATAAGAACTATAATTTTGAAAAACAGAATTCCCGGTAAACCGTAGCTATATGAATGGAAAAAATACCAAATTAGTGGTTTAAACGCCGTATATTTTATATTTTCGTTTTTCGTGTAATCAGAATCAATTCCGTAGCCTTGTAATTTTGAACCCAATTAAGAAGACTAGGGAACTCCTGGATCAAGTATTATGAGAAATTTTGCCTTTGTGTTTGTTGGAGGTAAACCTCAGTTGCATTACATGGAGTGGAAAACCACGAAAAAACCCCACGGTTAGTCTAATGGCAAGAAGACTGTAACTCATGATCCGTCTACCACCGAGGATATTTTTGCGTCTGCACTGAGGTCACTGCGAGCTTGGTGCGGAATTCATATCGACCAGCCATCGCTGAGATTCGAACCCGGTTCATCTGATTGGAATGCGAACTCTCTATCCCCTGAGCCGCCACAGCTCAAATGAACATTTTATGAAATTGCATCAAATTTGCACTGAATTGTTTTGTATGTTCAAATTAACGATATTAAATCCAACGCTGAACTGAATTTTATGAGCTTGTAGATTTGTTAAATAATGAAACAATATATTAAATTTAATTTAAATTTAATTTTCATTTTTTTGCTAAGTATTTGTGAAAATTTCAATGCCAACAACTTTTAACACCCAAAAGAATATAGCGAGTAAAAACTGTGTTAGGGCCAGTTTTGTTCATTACCCTTTTGGCTAAATATCAAATTTTGTAAGCTGATTATTTCTAAAGAAAAAAAAAACCTTGAATAAGCAGCTTTTATACTTCGGTAATAACATTGTAAAACTAGTTGAAGGTAAACCAATTTATAAGTTTATGCAAAGAAAAATGATTTACGATTTTTAGTTTATAATTTCGTGCTTGGTTTTTTAATTAAACTTTCAAATTTTCAAATCACGTTGATTTACAAATTGTTATTTCCGGAAATCCTTATTTTTTTAAAAAGCCAATGGCTTGAATACTTGGAGAAAGAATCAATTTCAAAATGCAATTTTAATGAAGTTATAAAGATGATTTAAGTATTGTTTTTCTGAGGCCAATTTTAAGAGAACTTTTATTTTGCGAAATTTAGATTTCGAAATTTAGTTTTGATCTAGATATTAATAATATTCTCTGAATCTGGTATCTTACTTTTATCTTTATTTCGGAAAATGATTAACCATAATCCGAAGTGTAATATTTAATCAAAATCGTTCAAATGAAATGCATTCAATCAGACCTGTAAAATATACACGAAAGCGCGGAAAATTTTTAGCATTAATAAAAAAGAAGAAAGAAAATATCGCCTCATTTAAGAAAGTTTGTATTTTTTGAATTCTGGAGATAAAATAAAGATTCATTTTTACGTACTTAACTAACAATGCAAATGCGATTTCAAATTACATTTACATGACATAAAATCACAAATCGTGGTTCCTATTTACGATATTTAAGATCGCGCATAGCGTTACGTGTTCTTACGATTTTATACCAAATACCATGTTTCGTATTCACGTGATATAAAAACCACTATTATGATTCATGTTTTAGTGACTTAAAAATTATACATTGGAATTCGTATTCACACGATTTTAAAATGAAAAATCGAGATTCGTATTCACGCGATCTCAAAATCAAACATTGAGTTTCGTATTCACGTGATTTTAAAATTAAAGGTCGAGATTCGTATCAGCGTGTTTTAAAAATCACACATATCCACACACTTAAACAAATAAATGAAATATCGCACTGATATTTCGTTTTCGCGCGATATATAAATATATAAAATAGTGCATCGATATTTACAACATTCTGCGGATGAATACTTCCCACATAGACTGTTTTGTTCTTAAATTTCAGGTAATTTTTCAATTATTTCAAAAGTATTTTTGCACATAACATTTCGAATTTTTTTTCCTGCTTTTTGGATTTTTTTTACCAAACTCATCCTTGTGGTATAAATCAAAATAGAGTTATATAAAAATGAAATTTTTTTTTACAAAGAATTAGTTAATTTCAGACGAATTTCGCCAAAATTAAACTGTGACGGAATGGTTAAAACTAATCAATGCGAGCAGAAAGTTTTTTAATTGAGATTTTGTGTTCGCAGAAAGTATTTTTTTTATTTTATCGAAGTCTAGGCACAATAAATGATAATAATGATAATGATGTTTTGAGTCATTATTTAGGTTACGTTTTATTGTGGTAGGAATGTCACATATATCTATAACTCGTTCATGACTCTATTTAATTAAAAAGTATTTTTTGTATTAAAATTAAAAAAATGCAAATAAAATGAAAAATATGATAACAAATTTAATCTGAAACTCGTTGGTTCGGCCTTGATGATTAGATTGTTAAGACTAACCTCTATTGCAGTTTTATTAACTGGCATCCTTTGTTGTAACGATGGAATATTGCGGTCAAAATTTCGACTATTTTTCGACTAAGGAGGATGTTTAAAAATTTAACTGAAGCTAAGTGCTCGAGGACAAAGCAAATTTCAATAATTTTCAAATGGATACAAACAGGTTTAATTATTATTTTTTCGCTAAATCATATATTTCGTCAATCAACATTTCAACCACTTTAAGACTAGGTAGAATGTTTAAAATTTAACTGAAGCTCTGTGCTCGATGACAATGCAGACTTCAATCGTTTTCAAATTGACACAATCATTATTTCATTGCTA